GGGGGAGGTACGGCGCCCGCAGACTGGGACGAGACAGAGACGGAGGGACAGGGAGAGATGGTGACTGGTAGGGAGAGACGCAGAAGAACCCGGACTACTCCTGAGTGCTCCGCTGGGAGGCTGTGGAGATGGAGTGAAGGTGGCGACAGATGGGAGAGATGCCGAGTTTGCCAGAGAGAGAGACTGAGGAGAGTTCATCTGATCTGCGGAGAGAGAAAAACTTGCGAGACGCAGAAAGAGATAGAGATAGAGACACTGGTAGACACAGGGAGAAATGGAGTTTAAAAAAGGGGCAGGGAAAGGTGGAGAGAGACGGGGAGAGGGTGTCTGAGCCTGAAAAGAGGACAAAAGGTGGTGAGACCTTCGGAGAGACTCCAAGGAGGTGTAAAGAGGGGGAGAGAGAGGCAGAGATGCTCAGGGAGGCATCGGAGAGACAGCAGAGGAGGAGGACAGAAGCGAGCACCCAGAGTTGGAGCTGGAGCTGGACAGACACAGCATTGGATAGTGAGCTCTGGGGAGTAGGAAGGAGGTGGCAGGTAAAAATATGAAGGAGAGACCAAAGGGGACTGGACTCCGGTGGAGGTGCAAAGGCCCTGAGGCGGGAAAGAGCTTGGTGAGTTTTGAGAAGCTGATAGAAGATGGGAGTCTGGGGGACAGAGGCAGAAGTCAGAGACGGGGTGGATGACAGAATTTCGTGGGAATGGAGAGCAGGGATGGAGAGTGGTTCTGCCCCTGTTCCAGTGCCCGCTTTCCCCTCTGAGGCCTGGCTTTCCCCCAGCCATGTCTCTGGGGCTGGCTGGTTTTCCAGAGCAGTAATGGTGAAAATGACTGCCGCTTCTAATGCAGCTGGAACTCTAGATCCACAACTTACATGCTGCAGTACCTCCGACAAGTGGCCTTCTGAAGAAGGGATACTTGGGTAGCACAGACTTGGAGTTACTGACCACAGTGACAGCCCCATTGGTTGCGGGACTTCCTGTGTGCTAGCCCCCTGCTGGGGCCTTACCTAACTTACGAAGTTTGCTCTGCAACCTCCAGAAGCAAAGATGGCCACTTCCCTCACCATTCACAGTGGGAAACTAAGGCTCAGAGAAGATGAGTTTCTTGCCCAGGGCACGCAGCAAGTGGCAGGGCTGGCTTGGGTCCGGTTCTGTCCATTTGTCATCATTATTGAGGGGAAACAGATTGAAGGCCGACAACCGGTGAGCCTGGCGTGGCCTAGGGTGATGGGTGCCCCTGCTGTCGCCGCAGTGTCCTCAGCCTGGGCGGGCTGTGTGGAAGTGGACTCGGAGACCGAGGCCGTGTATGGCATGACCTTCAAAATTCTGTGCATCTCCTGCAAGCGCCGCAGCGAGACCACCGCCGAGACCTTCACAGAGTGGACCTTCCGTCAGAAGGGCACCGAGGAGTTCGTGAAGGTGTGTGGACACCCAGCCTGGCTGTGGGAGGGTGGGCATCGGTGTCCGAGTGGGGAGCGGGATCCGAGGGTTGTTTGTTTTTAATAATGTGCTATTATTGATGACCTGGATTCAAATTCCAGCTCTATCACTGTCCAGCTGCTGAGCTTGGGCAAGTCACTGAGCCTGTTTGAGTCTCAGTTTTCTCCTGTATAGAGGTGGGATGGTGATGGTCTCTAGCTCATAAGTCTGTGAGTCTTGATTGAGTTGATGCATCTGCCAATGGCTTTGGAATTATTTAGTACTGGCAAAAATGTCTCTGATGGTTGTTTTGGAGGAGGAGCAGAACTTTTTGGACCTTCTTTATACTATGTGTATTTTTAATTATATCTGAAGAGGCATCCTATACTTTTAGGGCCTGCTGGAGAATTGGGGTCCACAGCAGCTGGGTCAAGCTGTCTCTGTGCCTGAATAAGGAGTACGTCCAGTGGCTGGGGCAGAATTGTAGAGAACGAAGGCCAGGAAGGCTGAATGGGGGCTCAGGGGCTGATGAGGAATGTGTGTGACTGTGTGTGTTTCAGGACTATGAGTCCATGTCTGTGTCCATCTGTCATTCTGTGTGTCAGGGCCAGGGACAGAATAGAGGTCTAGGTGGAGGACATGGGCCCAGGCAGTGACCCCCCCACTGGTTGCCCCCAGATCCTGCGCTATGAGAACGAGGTGCTACAGCTGGAGGAGGATGAGCGCTTTGAGGGCCGTGTGGTATGGAATGGCAGCCGGGGCACCAAGGACCTGCAGGACCTGTCTATCTTCATCACCAATGTCACCTACAACCATTCGGGTGACTACGAGTGCCACGTGTACCGCCTGCTCTTTTTCGAGAACTATGAGCACAACACCAGCGTCGTCAAAAAGATCCACCTTGAGGTAGTGGACAAAGGTGAGTAAGGCCCAGCCTGCCCCCTCATCCTTGTTGCCCACTGGCAGACAGATGGAGGGACAGATGGCAGGTAGCGGACAGGCTCTAGCTCCACTCCGGGGCCAGCCAACTGCCCACGGCAGGCAGCAGAATGAGCAGTGCTTCTTTCCCCAACTCCCGCTCTGGCCTTAATTTCCTTTCAACCCACGGAGTGAGGGCAGGCCTCTCCCACAGAAGTTCTGGGTGTAAAACCTCTGCTACCTGTGCTGTGTGACCTCTGGCAGGTGCCGTCCTGTCTCTGAGGTGAAGGGTCATCCTGTAGGAGGCAGGATAAGAGTGTCTACCTGTCAGGGTGTTGTTTGAACCCTTCCTGTGTTCCAGGGAGGTTGTGAGGATTGAGTGATATGTTGAGTGTCAACTGCTGGCGTGCCCGGCTCACAGCAAGGCCTCAGTATGTGGGGGTGACAGTGGCGGTTCTGCTTGTCAAGTAGCCTGAGCCCCGCCTCCCTCTGTCACAGTCGGGGAAGAGATATGAGTGTGTCACCTAGAGCAGTGCTCCTCAACTTCTACTGTGCACACAGCCCTCTGGGAGTCTTGCTAATGCGCAGATCCTGAGTCAGCAGATCTCGGTGGCCCAGAGTTCACTTCTGACAAGCTCTCAAGCGAGACCAATGCTGCAGGTCTGGGACCATGCTGAGCAGTAGGATCTAAGGTGTTTTTGAACTGTTTCCTCATTTTGGCTTCGGCTTCCTTGAACCCCTCCTCTGAACCACCTTCCGATGGGAGTAAATTAGAATTTTCCAGGGTCCTATGGCCCACTGGCTTAGATAGTCAGGGAGCTATCCCAGACCTTGGACCACCAAAGAGCTGTGGCAGGGACATCCCTCAGGGCCCACAGCACACACACACCATCATGGGCAATGTGCATTGTCCTTTCTTTTCTTGAGACAGGCCTCAGGGCCTTATGTGGAGTCTCTCGGTGAACCCTCTACCCACCCTCTGGGCTGTCGCTCTTACTGCCCCGTTTTACAGATGGAGAAGCCCAGGATAAGGGCAATAAGATTACATGGCCACGGTCAATGAGCTGCAACCTGAATTGGAAGGCAATCAAGCCTGTGTGACTGCTGTTTCTGTTCTTGGCATGATTCACTATCCTCTGCTGGCAGCCAGAGCCCATGGATTTCTTTTGATAATTAGCATTTTTACGTTTGTTATCAAAGTGATCTAGCAGAATTCAATGCAGATGTCTCTGAGTGACTCTGGTATAGGACACGATGCTGGGTGGGTGACCCACACATATAGAGGTGGGAGCCCCGCCCATGTGAGTCGGGGGAAAGTGGAGTGGCCATGACAAAGATGCCCGCAAATGCTGTGGCTTAATAAAATTTGTCTCAATTCTGTGTCCCGAATCAGTGCTGAGTTGAGGGGTCGCGAGTGCTGAGATGAGGGGTCAGGAGGGCAGGGAGGCTCTGTGAGCCCATCAGGCACCCAGGTTCTTTCCACCTTCTGGTCTGGCCTGGCTCAGGCTGTGGCTCTCATCTGCGTGGTGGAGGCTGGGGCTCAGGCATGCCCGTGACCCAGTAGGGCCTCTCTCTTTTTAACATTATCTACCATACTGTATTACCTCCCAGAGCCTGCGTTCTGAGCAACATATCATAATATAGAGCTCCTTATGCCGTCTTCCCAGAGCCTGAGGTGTTGGCATTATCCACCATATTCTGTGTTTTTTATCTACCACATTATTTTTAACATTGCCCACTATACTACAGTATTTCATATTATACTGTGTACTATACTATTTTAACATTACCAAACGTACAACAGTATTTTTATCATAATCCATCATACTAGAGCATTTTTAACATTACCCACCATACTATCATATTTTTACCATGCTAAAGTATTTAAAAATATTATCAATCGCATTGTAGTATTTTAAAATGTTACTTGTTATACTATAGTATATTCGTCACCCACTATACTATAGTATTTTTAGCATGACTCATCACACTATTATTTCTTTCATTACTCAAGATATTATTATAGTATTAGCATTGTTGGCCAGGCCATATTCTTTATTATAGTCCACTGTCTTACTGCATTTTCAACATTACCCACCAGCCTCTATTGCCTCCTCGTAGTAACTGCTAAGAAAGGAACTGAATCATTTCCAAAGCGGGGGAGGGGCAGTACGTGTTGGTGATGAGAACGTCACTGGCCTGGCCGAGGTGCAGAGGGTAGTAGGAAGCACCTGAGGTCTCCTACCAGGAGTGGGGCTGGCAGATGGGGACAAGGCGGCTAATTCTATTTTGGATATGTTGGCTGAGTATAAATGAATCAGGAGGCTTTGGCTAGAAATAAATGATCAAGATTTATTTAAGGGTCTTAGGGTTTGCAAACCGAAACACAACTAGGCAATATACCCAGAGTGTTTCAAAGAAGAGAGAAAAGCTAAGAGTTTTTGCGGTGAAAAATACATTCTTGAGAAGAATCAGTCCTGCATTCTTAGCCTCTGCATTAATCCGAGATGATAATCTTCCAGGTGTCCAGTGGTCTAGATAATGGATGTTAGTTGGTCTGGACACATGAACATTCTTTCCTAAGTCCTGAAGGGGTAATCAGAGTTATCCATAAGATTACATATATGTGTATATATGGTCATAACTGGAGAGTTCAAAAGTTTGATTTCCCAGGCAAGTTAAAGCAAGAATAGCAAGATCACATCCTCTGCCTCGGCCTCCTTGATTTCAGTAATTTAGCATCTTGACCACAATGACTCCATTTTATTTCTTCACTCTTTTCCTCAGATGTACCCAGTTTGAGTGAAGAAAGTCTTGAGGTGAAGCAGTGTCTGAGGCTGGTGAGAAGTCCGGCCTGACGAGGTACAGGCTGGGGCTTTAGACCTAGGGGCCGACTGTGTGAGGAGGCAGGGAAAGCTCTTGGAAGATTTGGGGTTTTGAAGAAATCAAAAGTCTCCCAGAGAAGGTGCCTCTGACTCTCTCTGTGACCCCTCTGCCTCAGTTCCTCATCTGTCACATGAGAGAATGACAGTCTCACCTCCTGTGGTGTCCGTGTGGGTTGATGGAGACAGCGCTCACTGTATGGCAGCTATTACCAAGTCCTTTCGGTTGTGGAAGCTTTACAGAGCAGATCAGAGCTCGGACCCCGCAGTCAGTTACAGTTGGGGATGAATCCCTGAATCCAATTCTGGCTGTGAATCTTTGCCCAGTACCTTCCCCTCTCAGGGCTTCAGTATCTTTGTCTGGAGATAGGCTACAGAGCCATGTCCTTCACTGTCCTAATCCGACTGGGAAAGCAGGAGACACCAGATTACCTAAATCCATTTGGGCATTGAGTTCCAGGAGCAGGGTTGAGAATTCCGATGATGTGAGCTTTCTCCAGCATATATCCATCTCATTATGCTTCCTGAGGTCAGCTGATGTGGGAAGCCAGTACTCTATCCTTGGGTTGTTTTGAACAGTCAGGGAGATGGTTCAATAAAAAACTCAGCACAGAGCCTGGCTGAGAGCATGTGTTCACTGCATAAGATGCGTTCATGAGATCTTCTGAGTGAGCAAATGAACGAACGAATGAATGAACGAACGAACGAATGAATGAATGAATGAATAAGGTATGGAACCCTGTCCCTAGCTCCTCCTGTGGGGAAATATGGGAGAATCATCCAGCCCTGCTCCCTCTCTCACTCTGGCCCAGAAAGCATTGGCACCACCTGCATGAGTGAGCGGCAGACAGCGCCCACTGACGGGGCGGAAGCCCACGTGGGGACTGGGGAAGATGAGATCCTGGCCAGGCAGAAGGAGGGGCTGGGCATGCAGAGTGCACACCTGTGAAATCTGGCCCAGGATGCCACAGTGGCCTTCGACTCCGGTCCCCCGGCTAAGTGCGCTCCTGTTACAGTTTAAATTTAGGCTCAATGAAAGGAAGCTGACGGAGCAAGAGCCAGTGCTGCGGAAGGGTAGAGGGTTTCCGGCAAACAGCCTCCAGTGGCCAGCACTTGTGCATCCAAGCATGTGAGGGATGTTAATTGGCCTTTCCTCTTCCTAGCAATCCTGTGAGAAGGCATGAGTATTCTCATCCCCATTTGACAGAGGGGGAATCAAGGCCCAGAGAGGTCAAGCTACTTGCCCAGGCTGGCACTGCAAGCTCGGGGCGCACTCAGGCTGTCATGTGTCCTGAGCCTGGCCTCGGCTGCCGCTTAACCCTGCCTGGCCCCTGCAGCCAACAGAGACATGGCGTCCATCGTGTCTGAGATCATGATGTACGTGCTCATCGTGGTGTTGACCATATGGCTCGTGGCCGAGATGATTTACTGCTACAAGAAGATCGCCGCTGCCACAGAGGCTGCTGCACAAGAAAATGCGTGAGTGGGGTTGGTGAGAAGCGGGGAAGCACCCAGGACGCCCAGGGCTTTCCAGAGGGGAGCAGGAGCTGAGAGCGGGGAGGGTGCAAGGGAGCAACCCAGTACCACCTTCCAGTCGTCCCTGGAGTGGGGCATTCATTGTCAGAGATGGACGAGGCCGCAGTCAGTCCCGGCCCCCACTTCTCTCAGCACCCAGGGTTCAGGCCCAGCACCCTGTCCCCCACGGATACGAGAGTCAAGGCCCCAGCCCCTTTCTTTTCCAGGACCCAGAAGTCTGAGCCCCCAGTCCTCTCCTGCTTCAGGCTCAGGACTCAGGCCCCCAGCCTGGACTTCTCTAGGAGTGTCCCTAGGAGTCTAGCCCACAGCCCCCTCTTTTCTCTAACTCATGAGCCCTGTGTCCCTGGGGCAGAGACCACAACCTTTCTCAGTCTCCTGGGTGTGGGCCAGACTTATGATGGGGTCACTGTCCACCTGGCTTTTGCCCCCACAGCTCGGAATACCTGGCCATCACCTCAGAAAGCAAAGAAAATTGTACGGGTGTCCAGGTGGCCGAATAGCCTCGGTAAGGTGGGTGGGTGGGCGGGGGCTGGTGGGCCTGGAGGAGGGTGCTGGTGGGCCTGGAGGAGTGTTAGCTCACTAAGTCCTTGATCCCCTCTCTCTCCTTCACCTTTAGGCTCTGGGCTCCGCCTCAAGGAAGAGCCAGCCCTAATGGGGAACATCCAGGCACAGCCTGCCCCCGGGGGGGTTGGCCATTCCTGGGCCCCCACAGCCTCAGAGTCCTGCCAGCGGAGCCGCCGGGGTGGGAGAGGGCAGGGGGCTTGGCTCGCACTCCTAATCCAGCCTTCTTTCTCCTGCCCTATTGCCCACCCTTGCTATGCATGATGGGTAAAGCAATACTGCCGCTGCCCCATCCCTGCTTCTGCTGCCTGTTTGGGAGGGGGTACGGTGAGGTAGGGCAGCGGCTCCGCACCCCTCCTTCTTGCTGATTTGCACACACTGGCCGCTTCAGACACGCACTATTGGGGCCCAGCCTTTCCCTGCCCAGCAGGGGTTGTGATAGGCCGGAACAGTTTGGGGCAGGGGGTTCTGGGGCCCACTCCAACCCTCAGCGACATTTCCCCTCCTGCTTCCTCTGGCTGGACCTGGGGTCCCCTCTCCTGTGATGCACTCTTGCCCGGCCCAACCCCACCCTCTCTCACCAGCCTTGGATTGTGGCCACTTAGAAAGGGGCCCATTCAGCCTCGTCTCTCTCTTTACATGAGTAGTTTTGTTCATGAAATAAAGATTCTTGGACTTGATTCATATTCTCTCTTGTGAGCCCAGTCACCCTCTACACCCGGCCCCAAATCCAAGAGCCTCAGTTTTCCTGGGGACCAGCCCTCACAGGCAGGCAGTGGGGCCTCTGTGCACGCATTCAGGATAAGGATGGGTAAGGAATGGATAGGGCCAGCGTCTCAGGCTCAGTGCCTGCCTGAGGACCTAGCAGGCGCAGCCACTTAGTACTTGATTAATGTGGGATTGGGAGGGGGGTCATTAGCTCAGCTGGGACCATGAGTGGGTGGGAGGCCAGGAGGGAGCCAAGGAGGCAGCCTGGGAAGGGGGGTGTGTCTGTGGAGAAATAAGAAGCAAGATGGCAGTTGGCATGGGGTTTGCTGTGTTCCAGGCTAGCAGTGGCGACCGAGCATAAATGAATCAGGAGGCTTTGTTAAAATTAAAAACAGCAAAGTCTTATTCAAGACTTTGGGGTTTGCAAACCAGAAACACTACTAGGTAATACCCAGAGTGTTCCAAAGAAAAGAAAAATTGAGAGTTCTTATAGTAAAAAGTACATTCTTGAGAAAAAAAAAAAATTGTCTTACATTCTTAGCTTCTGGATTGATCTAGGATAGTGATCTTCCAGATGTCAGGGGTCTGGATACGTGAACATTCTTTCCTAAGTTCTTCAGAGAGTTATCAATAGCAGGGGTCCCCAACCCCTGAGGCCTCGACTGGTGACCTGTTAGGAACCAGGTCGCACAGCAGGAGGTAGGTAGCAGGTGGGCGAGCACCACATCATCTGTATTTGCAGCCGCTCCCCGGGGCTAGCGTCCCTGCCTCAGCTCCACCTCAGATCATCGGGCATTAGATTCTTATAGGAGCATCAGTACCTGATGCCAAAAAAGGTTGGGGACCACTGATCTATAGGATTTGTCTATATCTCCAGTTCGAAAGTTTAAGTTTCCAGGCTAGTTAAAACAGGAATAGAACTGTCTCCTCATACCTCAGCCTACTTGATTCTGGTAATTTAGCAGCTTGTCTATAGTGACTCCAATTTATTTCTTCACTCTTCCTCAGTACTATGAGTCTCTCTGGAGTGATGGGAGTTGGAGACAGGGAAGAAGAGAGAGGAACATGAATAGGGAGAGAAGGAACGAGAGACTAGGGGCTGGGTAGCACCAAGTCTACACAGGCGTCTCCCCTGTGGGAGGCTGTGGCTCTGAGTGGAAGGGGGTACATGGGTGAGCAGGTGGGTTGGATTGTGTGGGGACAACTTATCTGGGGAGAGCAGCTATGGCCTGTGTTTATGTGGTTGTCCACAGGCAGGTGTCTGATGGTGACCCTTGTGTGTCTGGGTGTTTATTTGGCCCTGGGGTGTGACGTGGATCACTCTCGACCGCTGGTGGGACAGTGTGTATATGCCTCTGGACACTTCCGGTCACTTGGCTTAGGCCTCAGCACTCAGTGTTGCCTTTTCCGGGCCAAGCCCCCTTCCCCCTATCTAGGTCTTTCCTGGCTCCAGAGGTCACTGCTGCAGGCGGCAGAGAGGCTGCCAAAGCAAACCAGCCCCCGTGACTTGTAGGAAAGCAGCTGGGGGGAGGGAGCTGGGTAGGGTGAGCTGGGCAGGGCAAAGCAGATGTGGGCTGGGCTGGGGACATGGGAAGGGGCAGAGGCTGAAGCAAGAGTTGGAGTGGGGGAGGGACTGAGGGAGAGATACGGGGCGGGGCCTGGAACTGGGGCCAGGACGGGGACTACCTTGTTCAGGAGCTGGACAGGGGATGCTGGAAAGGGCAGGGGCAGACGGGGACAGAGTCAGGTGTGAGCTGGGGCAGAGTGGGGCCTGGGCAGGAGGCAGAAGTGCAGGGGCAGGGTGGGCTTGGGGCAGTTGCGGCTCTCTGATTCCCTCTAATACCTATCCCCATCCTTTAGTCCTGTAAGCACCCCCAGCCTTCTCTGTCTCCCCACACCCCTGGTCGTCAGGCCAAGCCCGGCCGTGCTCCCACTTCCCTCAGACCGGCACACCTGGGCCTACCTCCCAGCCCCTGCAAACCCTGCCCCAACTGCCAGGTGGCCTCTGGTGCTGCCAGTCCTTCTGCTTGGCCCCTCCCCGCCCCTATCCCCGCCTCCGGCCCAGCCCCCTCCTCCTCAGGTGAGGCAGCCAGGCCTAGCAGGCCCCACGCCGAGGCTGCCTCTGCCTCCCTGCCGCCACTGCTGAGGGGCCACCATGCTCCTGCCCCGGCCTGGAGACTGACCCTCAACCGGCACCATCTCTCAGCTCCGGCCCCACCTGCAAGACCCCAGGGTAAGGATCAGGGCCCTCAATTCCGGACCCCAGGACATGGGTCCTCCCGCCCCACCCAACCGAATGCCTACCTCCCAACAGAGAGACTCCCAGAGACCCCAAGAGCGGGCTCTCTGACTTCTCTCTAAGGACCTCGGAGTTTCAGGTCCCTGGAACTCCTCCTCCCTCAGACCCAGGAGTCTGGGCCCCTACACCCCTCCTCTCTCATACCAAGGAGTCTGGGCCCCCAAACCCTCTTTCCCCAGGACCCAGGATTTCAGGCCCCTGTTCTCTGCTCCCTTGGACCCAGGAGTTCAGACCTTCAGTCCCCTCCACTTCGGGCCCAGGCATGGGAGCCCCCAGCCCTATGATCCGGGTGTACCCATGGCCACTGGTCAGACACTGACCCCATCCTTGAACCCAACCCAATCTGCATCCGTGATCACAGCGTGCTCTGGCCAGGGCCCAGTTCCTCCAGCCTCCCTGGATGGGCGCCTGGGACTGGGGGCACTGGGCTGGGCTGGGCTCCCCCAGGCCCTGCCTCCCCGTCCATCTCCCCACAGGCCCTGCCCCGGCCCAGGAGGTCAGCCGGGGAATCATTAACAAGAGGCCGTGACATGGCGGAGAAGGAGGGTAAGTCCCCCTTTCCCTGAGCCCCGACTTTGGCTCTGTCTGGTGCTCCTCCCTCTGTACTCTCTTCCCAGCCCTCTGTCCCCTCAGAGCCCCCTCTCTCTGGCACCCATCCTGGGCCCATCCCCAGCCCCTTCTGAAGCCTTCTCCACTTGATTAACTGTTAACCAGATTTGCCGTGGGGCTGTGCTCCCACCTGCTGCCCTGCTACCCAATATGACATTCTTGGTTCCTTGCCTCAGTTTCCCCTCACCTCCTAGAGGTTCCTCAGCTGACCCTGGACCTCCCTTCTGCTTGAGATTATGGTGGGGAGACCGGCTGTCATAGTTAAGGACACAGACTCTGGAGTCAGACACACTGGCCTGCATTTGAATCTGCTTCTGCCACTTCTTTACTGTGTGATCTTATGCAAGTGGCATCATTTGTCTGGATTTCAATTCCCCCCTGGGTCAAACATGGATCCTAATGCTACCTACCTACCTACGTGAGGCTGTTGGGAGCAGGGACACCAGCAGGGGTCTGGGCACATCAAATGTACGCTGTGAACCTTGGAGTCCTAGGACTCAAGACCCCCACCCATTCCAGACATTCCTCCCACCTTCTGGCATTGTGGGCAAAAGAGCAGAGGGAAGACTTTGGACTCGGCTGGACAGATGGAGAGGAGAGAAAGAAGGGGGAAACCACTCCAGGATGGCAGGGTGAAGCCACTGTGGAGGGGCTGGCACTCAAGGACTCTTGGCAGCCCCTAGCCAGGGCTCCCTGTAGCCTGGATCCCTCTCAACTTCTTCCACACTTGGGAGTCAGCTGGAGGGGCCGAGGATGGGAGGCCTTTCTTCCCCACCCTCCGCAGCTGGGCAGACTCCCTCTCTTCTTTTTGGAATTAGGCTCGCTGGGTTCCGTCCTAGTCGGTGGCCCTTTCTAGTTACGAGGCCCTGAGCAAACAGCTTACCCCCTCTGGGCCTCAATTTCTTCATCTGTAAAATGGGGATGGTACTAGGGCACACCCCACAGGGTGGTGTGACGATTTAAATGCAGGAAGTGCTGTGTGTGTCACCTGAAATGACCAGCGTAGATCACTGGCCTCCTAGGGTCTCAGCAGCTAGCCGCTCAGACCCCTGACCATTCAGCTCCGGCCCAGAGTGCATCCAGGCTCCCAATGGCTCAGGAGAAGGCCCTGCACCCTTGCTGAGCAGGGGGACAGTAGCACTCCATGCCTTTTGGAGAATTCTTTCCTGGAGCTGACTAGAGAGAGTCACCAGGGTTGGGGCCTATGGGTGAATGAACTAGAGAAGAAAAATAGAGCATGCTAGAAAGGATGGCCAGAGACAGGTCTGGATGTAGAGAGCACTGAGACAGAGTAGACTCCAGTGCATCCTCGGGCAGCCCGTCCCAGTCTTGGAGGGGAGTCCGGCTGCTGGGGCTAGAGGGGTGGTCAAACCTGGACCCAGAGGAGGAGGTGGTCCAACCTGGACATGGATGCCGAAAGGTTCTGGTGCTGCGCTTACCTGCTGGGTGACCCAGGGTAGCTGGCTGCACCACTCTGGGCCTCCTTTCCTTATCAGTAAGCCGGAGATGATGGCATTGGTATCTTCCTCATGAACAGTTGCAAGGATTTAAGGAAACTGCAGGACAGGGTTTGGACAGGGTTGTGAGTTGGTGTGCGATTTGAGAGCCATCGCTGCTGCAGTGGCTGCTCGCATTTGTGTTACCATTATGGGCTGAAGTAGGCCCAAGGCGAGGGAGGGTCTTGGTGCTCCCTGGGGACTTAGACTTGGAGGAGGTGATATCTAAGTTGACACTCAGGATGAGGAGAGGAGGCAGGGTGTGCCAGGCAGAGGGAAGAGGCTAGCTAAGTGCTGGGGGTGACAAACAGGTGGGGGTGCAGTGGCACACACATACTTTGGGTATTTCTGGAAGTAAAGTTGGGAATGGAGCTGGGAGGGTGGTGAGGTGTGCGAGCTGGACCAGGCTCTGTTCGGACTTTTTTCGGCGAGGGGCCGATGCTGCCTTGCAGTGCTGGGTCTCTTTACAAGATGGCCCTGGGGGTTATTCTTTACTTCTCTTTTCTAACTTCTGTTTTATAAGTTCTATGATTTTGGGTGCTTTTTGGAAACTCTCTCAGAAGTCTGATAATGACCCATGTGGCTGCCTGGGACTTGGCAACCCCAAATTTTTAACTGCCATGCTTATATCACAGAGGGGTTGGCACTACAGAGCTGAGGGCCTTAGACTCTGTCCTAGGGGACACTGGGGAGTTGTGGAGGGTTCTAGGGACAGAAGGAACAGGTTGGATTTAATATTTAAGAAGAGCCCCAGGCTTCTGTGCAGAGGCTGGACCAGAGGGGGAGCCTGAGCCAGGGGTTGGATGAGGTTGGGGGCAGGGAAGGAGAGGGTGGCAGGAGACACTCGGGAGGCCTGCAGGCTGTGGAGCTGGCAGGTTCTGAGGGAGGGAGGTGTCCTGAAGAGGAGGGCCTCTGAGATGGTACCTGGGGATGTGGGAAGACACGGAGGCCAGTATGGGGGCCTGGGGAGTGTGAAGGGCCCAGGGGATTTTAGGGGGAGGCATCTAAGAGGCTGCAGGACCCCTGAATCTGGGACTAAGAAGAGTCTAGGCCTTGGGACAGAAAAAGGAAACTGAGGCTGTGGAGGTGGGTGAGAAAGACTTGGAACTGGAGAGGCTTGACGGGGAGGAGGCGTGGCCCGCCCTATGAACTCTAGATTTCAGGGAGTGGATAGAAGGTCAGGAGATGGAGAAGGCACCATCAGAAAAGTGGAAGGAAAGTCAGGTGCCTGTGGTGTTTCAGAAGCCAAATGAGGCAAGTTGGAGTTGGGTCTGAGGAGGACCGAGACACAGAGCCATCAGGTGAATGGTTTTAGAGACAAGGAGCCAGAGATGTCACTTGTGAGGGTTTTATAGCCAAATGGGGGCAGAAGAACTGTCCTGTGAGAAGACAAGGATAGCTAGGTGCTCTTGGAAGGGCAGGGAGCAGAGCCTCTGGGAGAAGTTGACAGGGTGAGGGCGGGTGGCGGAGCCGGCTTACCAATCGCAAAGGCCCTATTGCTCGTGAAGAATCACGACCAGAATGGTCCTCTTACAGAGTGAAGATGCTTCCTGTCCCACTACAAGCACCTGTTCTGAGATAGCTTGAAATTCCCTGAACCAAAGGTCATGGAAAGAGGTCATGAGGACATGGAGTGGCAACGTTTCCTGCTCCAGCAGACATACTAGAGTGTCTAGGCTGACCCCTGAGTGGCAGAGCACATCTGAAAACAAATGAACCAGGACCAGCCTGATGGTTGCAAGGAGCCAAGTCCTCCCACTAGAACCAGGAAGATGGCTGGTATAGAGTTGGGGGGTAGGCCTGAGAGGCACTCTTGAGACAGGGAGGCTCGGCCAGCTGGGGCTGAGCCAGTGGGCCTCTTTGGAGGGGAGAGAGTGTTCTCTCATGCCTTCAGGGGAACTGCTGGATTCTCAAATTCTTAAGATACCCAGACAATGGCCATCTCAAGAAGGCCCTGGACTATTCTTCATTCTGTTCCAAGAGCTTGCTTGGTGCATGCCAGGCCCAGCTGAAAGCTTTTAGTAGCCTTTTCCCTTTGGTCGTCCTGCAATCCCTAACAAAGAGGTTGGCTTATAATCCCCAGGGCCTCTGTTGCACTGAGAATAAAATCCTATTTCTTCTTAGGAGGCCAGGCCTCCCTAACTGGCCCCACCTTGGTCCCACTGCCTTCCCCAAGCTCATTTCATCCTGGTCACATCAGTGATCTCTCTTGCCCTCTAACAGACCATGCTCATTCTTGCCTGTGCTGTTCCCTCTGCCCGCAAAGCTCTTTCTTGACGTCTTTGCATTACTGGCCTCACCCTTCATGTCTCAGCTCGAAAGTCACTTCTTAGGGAGGCCCTCCCAGAACACCTACAGAAGCCACTTGCTGCCCCCAACCTGCATTATTTTCTTCATAGACTTTGCCACAACCTGGAAATTATCAAGTTTGTTGACTTGTTGACTTGTTTACTTCTCCCCCTCGCCTTACACATATGAGACTGTGAGCCCCATGAGAGCCAGCATCTCATCTGTCTGTTCTGGGATGTGAGCCTGGATGAGAGCCTAGAATGGTGCCAGGTACACAGCAGATGCTCAACAGAACAATCAATGAATAAGGCTCCATTTTACCCATGAGAAGAGAGGCCCAGACAGTTGAAGGGAGTTGCCCAGGACCACACAGCTTTAATGATTTCAAAACATTTATGGAGAACTTGCTATATGCCAGGAACTACAGCACAGGGAGGGATAGCGTGGCTTAGTGGTTATGTGTTTGGGCTCCAGCGCCAAATCTGCTAAGGATTCAGGACTCAGCACTGCCTCTTCCTGCTAAGTCGCTTCAGGCATGTGACTCTCCTTCTCTGAGCTTCAGTTTTTTCTATCTGAAAAATGGGAATCATAAGTGAGGTAAGCGCTAAATAAGTTAATGCATTTAGAGCAGTGCTTGGCACATAGTAAGCATCTGATAAGAGTTTGGCTATTACTGTTATTATTTAAAAGAACTTTAAAGTATTAATTTTAGAGGTGAGTGCTAGGTGGGTGCCCAAGAAATAGATGAGGGAGCTGAGGCTTAAAGAGGTGATGTTACCTGCCCAAGGTACCAGCTAAGAGGGGGAAAGGCCGGTATTTTTAAGGCAAGCTGGCAAATTTCCAAACTTAGGTTCTCACTCTCCAGGGGCAAAGCTGTCCTTGGAACTGGGTCCCAGGGAGAGGTCTGGTTTTGGGGGTTACCCAGGGACAGAGAGTCTAGAACAGCAAAGAGAAACGAGGCCCTGAGGAAATGCCAAACAGCAGGAAAGGGAGCTGCCAGAGGGCAAAGGTCAGGGGTCACGGCTTCCAAGAGGCTCCGAGAACCTCTGGGAAAGTTAGCGGAAGAGAGAGGTCCAAGAGGAGATGGCCCGAGGTGATGAGGGAGCCACAGAAGCAGTGTCATTGGGGAGGAGAAATCCTCTAAGTGCTAGGAGTGCAGGCAGCGAAGGTGGCAGCTGTCCCAGCCACGCCCCTTCCCAGCTGGAACCCTTAGGGAACTGGACACCTGGTTGTCCTTGCAGCAGGGGAGGGACAACCCTGCCAACTGATCCGCCTGAGGAAACTGGGACCAGGGCATGGCAGACTCAGGCATGCTGTTAGCTCTGGGGGTAGGGCAGAGCTGGCCCTGTGCCCAGACCCTGCCCTGACGAGGACAGGCCCGGCAGTGGTACCAGCATGGTGTCTATTGCAGGTGGCCGGACTGTGCCATGCTGCTCTGGACCCAAGGTGGCAGCTCTCACTGCGGGGACCCTGCTGCTCCTGACAGGCATCGGGGCAGCGTCCTGGGCCATCGGTGAGAGTGGTTCCCTGTGCCTCTACCCTCCCCTGCCCCCGTGGCCCCAGCGTGCCTGCCCTTACCTCTGTCTTCTCTACAGTGACGGTTCTACTCAGGAGTGATCAGGAGCCGCTGTATCTGGGTGAGTAAAGCAGACTGGGACCCTCTGGGAAGCCCTGCAGGAAACCTGTACCTGTGGGAGCTCAAAAGAAGAATTTTTTGAATGAATGCACGCACGCAAAAAGAAATGCTAGTAACAGTAGAGCACTCCTGTTGAGTGCCTGCTCAGGACCCGGCGCTGTCTAAAGCACTTGTCTAACTCAATGTTTTTTAGACTTTAAATGTGATGCCTATTAATGCATCATAAAATTAAATTAGTGAGTAGGAAACCACATTTTTAAAAGTAATGAATAGATTAGATTAGAAAATATTCGAGTGCATCTCTCTCAGTAAGGAAAACACTTGTTAATGTTTTGTTTTGGTTTTATGAGGGTGGGACTGTTATTCTCTCCCTTTTAGAGATGGACACTGAAGCTCAGAGCAACGGGATGATTTATCCCAGAAAATGGAAGTTTAGGGCCACATCATAGTGGAAAATTATGTTTCTTACTACAGGGCACAGACAAAACATATCTGAGAGGTGCTGTATGAAACTAGCAAACCCTTCTAGCTCCCCTAGGAGGCAGCTGCAATTATCCCCATTCACAGATGTGGAAAGTGAGGACCAGAGAGGACACATAACTGGTCACTGATGGGGCCACGAATGGCCCTTAGACTTGCCTGGTAGAGATATGTCTGCAACAGGAGGAATGGCCACACTGATACATAGACACAGAAGCCCACTGCGGAATGAATGAATGAATTGTCCCACGTGGTATCCCGTGGCACAGGGCAGCAGGAAGGAAGGGAGGTATTTTTCACTCCCTCGATCCTCATCTAGTTCCGCAAAGGACTCAGCTCACATTAAGAGAAGAAATGAAAATCCACACAAGGAAAGCCAGCATCAGTGTGAGTCATCACAGCCAGCACTTAGCATTTACGCATACCAGGCACGGTCCTTGGGCTTCACATTCAATCCTCGCAACAGCCCATTTTAATATGGGGACACCAAGGCCCAGAAAGGCCAAGTGACTTGCTGTAGTCCACAGAGCTAGTAAGTGGCAGGTCTGGGATCTGAACCCAGGCAGCCTGGATCCAGCTCTTGTGCAGACCTACTAACCGCTC